AGATCGTGATGGTCGGTCGCGATGGTAATCTTACCAACAAGATTGTTGCTGTGGCACTGGCTCCAGTCGAAGACTATGACAACTATATGTGGTTCAACAGTAAAATTCTACACCATGGCTTTCTACTGACTGCATGCCCAGTCTTTAGCGATCGCAACGTCAGCCCGGTGTCGGTCGCAGAATCACTCGGGATCTTCAACATGTTTTGTGTTGGTCACACCATCGGTACGTGGTCTAGAGTACATGTTTCGCTGGTATTCACATTCCAAAGGGAATATGAGAGCTGATAAGACAGTCAGACTAGCCGTGACTCAAGAGCAATTGGTGTGGGAGGCGAACGCAGCTTTGTCTCATGCCGAATACGATGTCGCTATCGGAAAGCTTAATGCTGTAAACCCAGCAGCTGCAATTTATCTTAGTGTCATACCTGCAAAGCAGGTTTCGAAGCTAGAAAGAAAGTACACCCGTCGAGTTTTTAATACGATCTCTGATGTTGCTGCTGAACTGCAAGAAGCGGCTACTTGATTTGTTCCAAGAAATGAAATCACTGCTGAACATTTTATTACTATAGAAGTGAACAGCATATTTAACAGCGCGAATTAGCACATCAACAGAGCGTCTGTTTTCAGTGTTGCTGCTCCAGTCTGCTGCCGAAAATTCTTCGACCATCACATTTCCAGTTCTATCATCGCAAATGACTCCGTGACTACGAGTCGGCGTTCCAATATTACCACCACGGAATTTTGAAAAAATGAAAAGCTACGTACTGACAAATGAGACGTGTGGACGAGTGCACGATGTACTATACAGCAAGCAGACGACTAAAGAGCAGTGCGCATCTCCGAGCACCCAGATACTGTTCATGGTGTCAATGATGGCGACAATTTGAGACTGGACGCACGCAATTGTAGATTTTTTTACTTTTCGGATCAAACCGCCCAACTACGTCGTCAATGTAGCCTGTCTGTTGGATGGCCTGTTTGATCAGTAGAACCACCGCTGACCATCTTGGTCGATCTCCATGCCAATGGTGTCATTTCGCCATGCCGTAAACCCTCATCTTAAATTTGCACCCTCTCTACCGCCAATAGCTCACCGCTCGGCTTGTCTGAAATGATCATATTATTGACACACTGGCATACATACACAACTCTTACTTTAGATTTCTTCCCAAAGATGCGCTAATTAGCCTGCAGCTTTTGTCACCTTTCGACTTGAATACATGACCAATCGTCTTATTTCACGATTTCGCAACCTGCTTGAGTCCAAACAAACCTTGATCAGCTGGAATGCAAAACCTTGAACCCCCTCGATACCTAACGAAATCCCCATGCGAACACTGTCTGACAGCACACTGTTGAGAAAGGCGGTGTCGACGTCCAGCTATTTTATTTCGTAACCAGATAAGGAAAATATCAGTAAAACGCAAATTAATTTCATGTCTGCCAACGAGGAAGGCCGCAAAGAAATCCACGTCGCACTTCTGTGTAAAAATATAGCCACCAACGCTGCTTTGTAACGCGCCGAACTGTCATTCTGGTCATTAGAAACACCACCGCATTCAATCGTATACCCTATACCCTGTAAATTCCCGTGAAACAAGTGTACATATATTGTTTTAATGGTGTTACCGTAATTTGGCGTTTCGACGCTAGCCATTGTCTGCGCTTCTGTGGTGGGCAAGTCTGTTTCTCGCCAATACTTACAGCATAAACGATAACATCTTCAGCTGAAAGATCTAACTCGTCAATCCTTGCACGCTTTAGGGATGGCAGGGTATTGTTCCCTTCAAACCATCTTCATCATCTGAACAAACCTCCCACATCAACATCATTCTGACTAACGAATTTACCAACGAATGAGCGGTCATTTATCTATAAGCGATTTTCGCAAGAGCAGCGGTCAACTATGAATCAGTGGTGAAGTATAAAACCACCGTGTACTTTAAAGACGCAGTGAAACGGACAGTTGATGCTGTTGGTACTTGTCACGTGATCGGGCGCTTAACAGGGAATGCATTCATGCACATCACTGTCATTCTTGCGGCGAGCGCAGCCGGCAAAAAATTGCCACTGATTTGATCTGGTAAGGAACTGACAAGGCCATTTTTGAGAAAACTGATGGAGTACCAGAAGAAGGCGTGGGTGAAGGTTTGCATGCTAAAGCGCTGTACTGATTTGCAGTTCTCTATGGTAAATACTAGCGATGAAAAGCTCTTGTTTTAAGCCTCGATGAGAGCTCATATCGCGAAGGAAGTAGAAAAAATGTGCCAGACGTGCGACATCAAGACGTTTGTCATTCTTGGTTTCCTTGCATTGTATCGTCAAGCTAGTGATATCGGCATTTACCAATACGTCAAGGACTTTTTGTAAGCCGTAATCAATTCGTGGAAGCAGAGTGACCATATGGTATATATCAAATATGTTAGCGCCAGGCCATAGTTAGTCATGTTGGTGTGCTTGTGGGTCTAGGGTTTACCCCTCACTCGGCAGATGAAGTTCCATGCACAACGTACGATCTATCATTGACCAACTCACGGTATCAACTCGGAAGAATTGTATTTATATTGCGAATGCCAAGCATTTCAAAAATCAAAAAATATTATTTTTGCATTGCCAAAAATACATGTTTACTGAAAAAGAATAAATTTGTTGGGCTTGAGTCCGTTAATAACTCCTGGTCAATGTCTTGACCAGTCACTCTTACGTAAAAGAAGACCGGCTTATACGCTAGGTAAAGACACAGATATCCGCCTTTCTGATGCATTCTCGGCAACGGCACGCCACAACTCAATCCTACTGAAACCAAAAGGAGTTATCAAATGGACCTAGGAAGTGGGAGACAATTACCCTCACTAGCGGAGGCCCACTTCCGTTAGATGGGTCTCGAAATAGATGGGCGGAAGTGGTGGCGTAAGCGTGATAAGATTCTGGTGGCAAAACCACCATGCTGGTGGTGGGTGCAAAATTTTTCACTTAATATACAGATCAAGCTAAGTGACGAGATCGTATTGAATAGGCTTCACAGAGAGAAGGTCTACTGTGCCTAGATCGTCTACAAGTATCACGTCGCATGAGTATCATTGAGTCCATCGAAGCATTAGCTCGCCAACTTCGTGGAATTGCGTGATTTCTCGCAGGAATCCTCACGAATGATACGCCCAATCTCCTACATGCGGTAATCCACTGATGCAAAGCCTTGCATGAATCGCGAGAAAACTATCTTCATCGGTGAGACCGCGGTATACTTTGTGGAGGTTAGAAACATGACCGTCGATTGCACCCGTGCACAGCATGTCGTATCTTGGTCGACGGGACTTGCGTCGATGTGCATTACTGCCCTCCTTGCCCGTGACAGTGAGTGGGAAGGGCAAGCTGACCGGATCGTTCCAAAAGACCAACGGTGCCTACCACGGGTCCCAGTGGCGAGTATGCGTTGATAGCGCGTTGTGGAAGCGGTGGATGGATCTTTAGTTTCCTTTACACGACATCATTGAGGGACGCTATCTCGTTTGGGACTTAATGAGGGATCTTATCTTCAAGGAGGGCAATGAAAAGTGTGAAGGCATGCGATTGGAATGTGTTTGTTCCTGCCGAACATATCTATCGCCATCTTCTGAGGGCTCGAGGACATTCAAAAAGCTGGGGTTAACGCTTGGAAGGAAGCGATCAAGTCTCGTGCACAAAGTTTAGTAAACCTCATTCTCCTGAGGAAGACATTATTTGTGGCTGGGCCCATCGTGTATGGCACGAGACTATTCCAACTCAGAATCGAACTCTATCGCTGCTACATGCTTTTCAGGCAGCGCCTACGACTGACATATTGCCCGCTACAATGTCTACGGAGAGAAATGTTTCGCGGCTTTGGAGACCAAAAAGACTGAATGTGATACGGAACCGTTTAACATGGAGGATAGAGGAATTCGACGACTGCATGGATGAGAGAGCAACATTCAAGATGAATAAAAGCCTGATTATCGAACTTAGTCCGTTCACATTAATATTTGCTACCAGAATTTGGAAGACCGGTTTCTTCATCTGTAATTTCCGTTTTCTAGAAGTCCGGAGTCTGATCAGGAAAATCCGTCGTGTAGGTGATAACATGATTTATTGACATTGTTTTCCACTGCTCTCCTATTAATGAAATATCACCAAAAGTGTGTCGGTCTAACAGTACTATAGTGCGCTCGAGTCAAAATCGCGATGCAAACTGAGTAACACGCAAAGTGCACGCAAGCCGACATGCATCCATATGCATCAGAAGACGAGGAAAAGTCAGAAATGGTGCAAGGCTTCAAAATTTCGTGTGTCTTGTGTGCTAGATCAAGAGCGGGGTAAAGTAAAAATTAGAATAAACAATGGCGATGGTTAGTAACCGTGCTCACTAGAATCAACAATGAGTGGTACAGGCTAAGCAAAGTTTGGGTTAAATACAGCAAGATGATGTCGAAGATTCCGCGACATTAAACTCTTAAACGTGTTCAGTTCAAAGTTTGTCTATATTATTATTTATAGACGTAATGACTTCTCAAGTTCAAAGAAGAAGAGGACTACTTAAAAGGAGTTTATCTTGATAGACCAGTAAAAGACAAGTATTTCAATCAAATTTTGCAAAAGGTGGGTAAAGCCGAAAAAATGTTAGAGCTTTAAGGCTAGCAGATTCACCTTGGTCTGAACTTGCTTTCAATAGCAACTATCTCATTTCACCGAGTACGGGAGATGAAACAGCAAAAGGCTGACATGTCAGCAGCGTGAGCAACTTCGCACTATGTTCCACAATGTATGATAGGAATTGTCAACTGATTCCGACAAAAAGAATGAGAAAACGAGTGGAATGCAACTTTCTTTTTGCCTGGGGGATTGTAACTTTGGTCTTACCAGCCCACTCCAAAGCAGCTTACCAACTGACTACACGATGTATAACGACGTTTTGCTGAGGCGACATCAGCGAATGCTTCTACGTCCGTATCGACGTGTATCATACCTACTCTTATTCTTACTGGAGTATTATTTATTTGTGAGATATATATTTTTCTGATTATTTTTTCAGAAAAAATACATTCAGCTATTTTAACTAGATTAATCAAATTTAAATATATAGATTATTTTCTAAAACTGCACTGGATCAAAAGTCAAGTCTTCTTGTTGAACCGACACAGAGCAATTTGATGCAAAAGCACCTGCAGGAAAGTGTGGGCTTAGCCCCCGAAACATCTCAATTGTATTTATCCAGTTTTCCGATAGTCGAGGAGACTATTGCACCAAGGCTCCGCATGAAGATCGATGTACCCGCGCACTGGGAGCTTAAAGCTCATTCATTTTCGTCCATGGAGTTTAAGCCTCCTGACGAAGCTCTTTCGATGGGGCATGAGCCTCTACCAATTCCAGCGCTTCCAATGTACATGCCTCTTGAAAATGGTCGTGTGCTTCGTCAGGGAGCTAAAGACGAGTGTGGAATGGCTGTCTCGTTATCTTGCGAAAAAGCAACTTGTAATCATATTACGCCAAAATCGACTGTTTTCGTTTCGTCATTGCTGGAAATGCTTCCACGGAATATCTTCTTGCGCCCACAAGCGAGTGTACGACAGTTTGTGAAATTGAATGGTCCACGTGAAACTGAAGCAGGCTACGCACTGCGACCTCGTCGCGTTTTTCGTACGCTTCCGACCACCTTTCTAGCTTGGCAGAACACGCAGCGTGGCTTCGGGTTCGCCGTGAGGTCACGGGGTGAGGAAGGATTTTGCTTGTCCGATGTATGTGTCGAATCTGCCGACAGAAAGCAAGTCGAACCAATATTTTCTTTTGGTGATCCAATAGTAGCAATAGATGATGGATCGGCTTTTCAAAATGTGTGGAATGTAGCACACCCAACAATACCTCCGCTGGTAGAGCGGGCAGAATCAGTACCTAGTTTGTCGGATAGCGAGACCGATGAGGATAATGACGACAAATTGACTTCTGGCCTCCCCCTATTGTCGTGGAAACACGCACTGGAGCTATTTGAAGATAAAATCGATGATGAAGTAGCTGAGTTGTATGAGGCTGGCGAAATGCTGGGAAGAGAAAGAGGAGTCTACAGCTTTGAGCGCTATCGCCATTTGATTCGGCAAGAACGCGCATACAACAGTTACAGACAAGAGCTAGTAGAACGACTTCCCCAGGTACAGAAATTCGAAACAAAGACTTTTTTTATGCTTATTCTGATTGATCTTATCGATTATTGTAGCTTCTTAAAGTTATTTCGACACAGATTGGACACCTTGATCACGCACTGCTTGTACACAATAGTGAAGAGGATCGAGATATTCCCATAAAAAATGTACGATTTTCCCTTTTCAGACGTGATCTACTACTTGTGTTGCTTAACGTGACAGCATCGCATTTATGTTTCTTGCCAACTTCTTTGTATTTAATTCAGCAGAAGTGAAGTGATCGCATGAACGAATTGACCTCGAAATTATCATCCTGGAGCTTTTTCAAAACTGTGGTGCTCACTTGTGCGAGTATTTAAACAGTGCCTGAGTGTGGTCCACACCATGACTCGTTGACGGGGTGCATTCTTTATCATGGAGAACCTAAACACTTGACTTTTGTGCACTTTGTCAACGCACAAGAGCCTCGCTGTACTGGTACGATAGGAGAGTCTGTGTGCCTTGCGTCATGCAATATATAAATAGTTTCGTTAGCGAACATGGTAAAGCAAAGTATGAAGTTACATCAGACTTCATTTGAATATACATCGCTCGAGAAATTAAAGTAAGTGCAACGGCTTTAAATCTGTGCAGGGCGTTCTCTGTGCGTTGTTTTAATAAACTCTCTGTGAAAGGCTACACAGCAGCCCCGCGCAAACTTATAGAGAAAGTCACCCTGCTTGAATACAAATTATTGATTCGTGAAAGTTTGGATGGAGGTAATCCAGCATTATCTATGGGTGAGTAATCCAGCGATATCTATAGGTGAGTAATCCAGCAATATCTATGGGTGAGTACACATTGCTGGATTACCTCCACGGGTTACGTACTCTCATACCGGAATATCTAGGGTTATTAGAAACAGCATGTTCTTGTCAACTGAAGAACCCGATGTAATAAAACCAGTCCGAGACTGGCACCACATGGCACTTCATCTTATAGGGTATGTACGGTGATAATGTGTATGTACACCTCACACTTCTGCTCAATTGTGCGATTGCAATATTGTACAATTGTGCCATTTCATTTTCCGCTTATGCTGAATTGCAAAGTCGGAGTTTATGACGATGACGAAAGCAGATACCGATATGGATTATCGTATGATAGCTTTTGAATATCGCGTGGTCAAAGCTGCAGCGAAGGGTTACTTGATAGCAAAAAGGATATACATACAAAGTTTTCATCAAGTTGAGAGTACAAACTCAGCTCCAAGCCGTTTGTAATTTATACCGATCATGCGTCGCTGCTCACAGCGACTTCTTCACCACGTCTCTCATCAAGAACGGCAAGATATTTACCGACCTTTGCCGACTGAACCGTCGAATCAATCAGATCAAGATGTACTGTTACTTGCAGACCTCTTTCTCGATACAACTATTTTTGAGACAGGAATCACGGCTTAAGCAACGGAGCAAACAGTAAATGTTAAATGTAGTGTGTTCAGCCTTCTCTTCCGTAAACGTTCTTAATGAAATAAAGCACTTTCAACTCGAGTGACAAGTTTGTTTCGATATCCCGATATTAATCTCCTTCAAGAAAAGATTTGTTGAAACAATCACGCGTTCCTGTTCTTCTTCAATTCAATTGCAAAATTCATTCATACAAAATGAAACACCCAGCTGTACAATGAGCGCCACAAATGTTGTGAAAGTCGGTATTCATGTACTAGTTTTCGGCCTTGAACACTTCCATTTGCTCCCAATCATCTAGTCAATTTCTGTCGTTGATAACCAGCCCATGTGCGTTCGTTGCGTCGTGATAGCTCGCGCATGGCATGTTTGTCCAGTTGCAAGGATTTGACTTTCTCAGCGGCTATAGTTGAAGCAGCAGCTTACTCATTACATCAAACGTATGGTAAAACATTCGCTCATGACCTCATTTTATTCGTAAAAATTTGACCAATTTGACCGTCAATATCATCTTCGACACCAACATTCATCTTCTCATCGTCTTCGTTTTTCGTCTTGTTGCTCTCCTCTCTATCACTTTTTTCGTCGCCGTTATCTTCTTTGCGCTAATTTTTTTTCTTACTGCCCGCTTTTACACTTTTCTGATCTCGTTTGCCTTCTCTGCTTGATACCAACCAGCTGTTGGCTTCATAGAGAATTTCACTAGAGGCTTTCTATGATTATAACTTTTGTCTTCATCCAAGTGAAGTTGTGCAGCGTTTTCTGATTTTGACACGGACCAAATGTACCTTTCAAGAATTCGGCATTTTCGCTCATAATCCACGGAATATTAAAATACTATCAGTTGACTTAGAACCACAAATGTGCCCAGAGTAGATATGAGCCTTAACACGAGCCATGAATCGACACGACACACTCTTAATATTATGTTATTGATAAAAAAATCAAGCACAACATGTACAATATGTTTGAAGGAAATAATTGCTAAACTTATTCTAATTCTTTTGTTCTACTCACGCCACGAGAAATATATAATTACATTGAACACTTAATGCTTAGCAATCTCGTCGCTTCCACCTTCTTTGTTTTCGTATTCTCCGATTTCTTAGTCTTCGTTTAAGGTGGAACTTTCCTCTTCATTTTCGTCATCAACGGCCGAACCCACTGAATCTTCTTTATCGTCTTCATCTTCTTCACTATCTTTCTTCGTGTTTGGATCAACTCTGACCATCCGAGTCTCTGAGTCGTAAACGTTGACCAATTGTGCCATACCACCATCAGCATGAGACGCAATATGACAGTGAGCGAATAGATTTCCCACCATATAATCGCGCGGTGTAAAGCGTATCTGTACTCCACCACGAAAAAGTGGTAACGTATCCCGCCAGTCCCCCAAATCAAAAAGAACGCCATCTGGATCAGTAATGTCATCCATATTTGAAATTTGGAAGTGTGTCGAGTGCATATGAAATGGATGATTCATTGTATGGCAATTACTGGACGAGGATAAATGTCCAGTCGCGGGAGTAGCATTGTCATCAAGATTGCAATTCCATAATGACTCCTTTCTGTAATCAGTAACCGAAAGCTCCCATTCTTGCACCTCATTCACGCGCATTGAGTGGTTAATGTTTGATATGTTTAGTGTTTCATGATTGACACCAAATACAATGTCATTTTCCATCCAAACTGAGAACTCGAACGCGTATTGTCTGTCCTTTTCTATCAAAGGATGAGATTTCGATGTTCCGATTGTGTCTTCCATATATGCTGGTCGCTTCGGCAGTACTGATGGAAGGTGCATAAAATTAGCTGTGATGTCAAGGTCAATGTCTAAGTCGTTCATCTCTCGCTCGACAACATTAAATTGTACGATGCGCTGAGATGGCACTCGATGTTGATTTACAAGACCTAGTAACTTATTGCGTGAACTCGCACAGTCAGTCTCAAGGTAGAAGGTTCCAATTTCAGTACAGATGATTGCCACATCAGCGCGTCCGCCTGGTGGAAGAACAATCACTTCTTTTGCTTTTGGTCGCGTATAGTAAATGCCGTCCATAGCAATCACTTCCAGCATACACCCACTTCCATAAGTTGTCACAAGCTCAGCCACATTATTCGCAATAGCATTAATGAGGCGCATGCGCTTGTATTCACCTGCTACAAAATTCAGCTTTGGTAGATATTGTCCATTTGCAAAGACTGTAAGCAGTGATGTGTCATTTAAAGGAGCATCTGCCTCGTTCTCAACGACTTCAAGGTCAGTGTCCCAAACCTTATCGTCGTCCTTTTGGTCTGATACTTTTCTGCTATGACTATACTTGTTTTCAATTGCTTCTTGAAGATCGTCGTGCTTATTCGAGCAATTCTCAATACAAAAAGCTTGTAAGATAACAATCAGATCCTCCATTGCCGCTAATTCTGTTGGAAAATCATTTAATCGATCCACAACAATAAGTGCACCTGCCATCATTCCTTGTAAATGTGAATTAACATTGCCATGTGTGTGTGAATGGTACCAGAAGGTACCGGCCGGATGATCCTGTCGAATGTCATAAGAGTATATTCGCTGTCCTCCTGGTACCACATCAGGCATCACATTATCGGCATTACCCACTGGTGGTAAATGCATTCCATGTAAATGCAAGTTGGTATTGTTACTCTTTCCACCTTCAAGTGAATTAGTGACCGTGACAACAAGGCGGTCTCCAGGACAAACTTTTATAGTCGGCGCTGGAATATGTCCACTGTACGATCTGGTATTAAAATCCACATAGTCACTCGTAAAGCGCGTGACTTGTACAACTAAATTTATGCGCAATTCACCAGCTTCAATCATGGCTGTTGGTCGATCGCCCATACCTGAGGAAGAACTGTCAGTGCTGAGCTTGGTGATCTGTTTGGCACAGTCAGACTGGTACATAATCGGTTGGCGAAATGACTTATAGTCATTCATAGCCGAGGTCACCGCAATGACAATGGCAAGAAATGCGCTTTGTAGATAGACAAGAAGAGCCATGCAACTTGGACTTGCAGCTTAAGCAATGCCACGGGCAAAGGCGAGGTCAGGAAGACGCATGTTTGTACGCATCATACGATTGTACAACAGCTGGTAGCTCCTCGATTTTAATATGCTTTGAAAAAAATTGCCTCAAAAGTTATTTCATCGAGTTTTAGTTGCTGTCCAATGAAACTGCTTCGTTGAGCTATAAATTCGTCAACATTCTATAACTGGGAGATGTGGAAGACTCTTGTCCTTATAAATCGTTTGAAATCGTTCGCCGCGCGACCACTTACACGCCAATGCGTGTTGGTTGGTCGCACGAATCGAGCTTGAGAAGTCGTTCCAGTTCTGAGTACAGTCCCGCTCATCTCCACGAGACAGCTGTATAGCTAGTGTCTAAGGTCTTATTTGCCGTAAGGTCGGTCTCCATCCACTAATGAAAGACACGCCGAGATGGACAGATCGACCGTTTCTGTAAGGAAATTAAAGTGAGAGGGTGCGCTTGATCGTAAGAATCCACGACATCAGGAAAAATTTAAGACTGACACATCCACGCGTTTTCCGACGGAGAATATTTCCCATATTTCACCACTACCGTTAACGGCTTTGTTGTACCCGCCAGTCCATCAAACATCTCACATAAAACTGACTTATTCATGGTCATCGAGCAACTCCAGCAAAGGTCCATGTTTAAACAGCTGCTCCTGAAGGAGCCCTCTGAGTCTTGTAGTGTGTCCAAAAATGAAAGAACGCAGATCTCGGAATCACTCACTTGGCCTTACACACGCCTAGCGGCTTACTACGCGTCCCATCACATTCGACTGACACTCCCTAGCCGAATCGTAGGTAGCTAATCCACGTAGAAATCGGGATGTATATTATTCTCTGTGGGATGTTATGATTATCACTCAATAATTACAATTGCGATTCGGCTTGATATAGTGCAGTCGCGACTTAGTACTTAAACCGCAGATACTGCATGCGTGGGTATATAAAAAATAGCATTATCGCCTAACGATTGTATCGTGTGCTTTACCCGCCATTGGCCTCGACATGTAGCATTTGTATATCCGAACTCTCAGTCACTGCTTCACTCACACTTTTCGCAAGACGCTAAATTTCAATAATGCTACCAATTTGTAGCAGTATCAAAGAAAAGCGTGTCGAACCAACACATTTCTAAGAATAAGGCGATGCCTGTAAAAGCATTCACTGCATTAAATAACTCTTAAACAATGAGTGGGAGCAACTTTATTCAGCACCACCGTCTACCAACGTTAAATCTACAAAGAATATCCCTACCACACAATCACATTTTCTATCTAACTCTTTGTTTGCGGATGGTCAGCGGTTGACCTGTGTCAAGCGCAACGAATAAGGTTTATTAAGACTTTACTGTATAGCGCAGATCTCTATGAGATGCTCAAGCCATGTTTACAAAACATTTGTCGAGGAACAGTTTGGCTGTATCCTTATGAGACACAGTTCTGCCGGTGGATGCGGCATCCGTTTTGCTCAGACATCCCATAAAGACAACGATGCCGGTTTCCCGATCGCATGTTATGGAAGAGCGAAAAGAACTGTCAACACTTCGCCAAAACCGGCAGTTTGACCAAAGGTTCTGCCCAATGCGGCGAAAATTTAACCAGCTGACATATTTCTACCAGTCACATCTATTGGATACTTTCCAAGCTTTCGAAGTTCAAGCTCTGTACACCCAAGATCATGTTTCAGTTGAAGCTGAGGTTCAACCTCAGTACACAACTGATTTATGAATCCGGAACCTAAGGTTTTATTCGAAGAATCTCTAGCAGCCCTTGGCTATTTTGCATGTAGCTAGGAACCATAGCTCATTATCGATTCGGGTGTAAATTTTCCTTAAAGGGCTTAAGTCATTCTCCATCCCTCCAAGTCGGAATGTCCTTCTCCCCCCACGTCGGGAATCGCTTCCTCGTCGCACAAGCGTGTGTTGTGCTTGAGGGGCTGTTTGTGAACAGAGCCCGGTTACATTCTGATTCTGAACGAACCCGAATTGAGGCACGGGATAATGAGACTCTATCACACAGCTTTAAGAAATACGTCCTCAGCCGTCCCAGTGCCAATTGTTATTATTGGATTGGTTACGGGTCGAACAATGTCGGCAAAGTTAGTGCGAATGGATGGTCAGGCCAGGCCACACCCTCAAATCCTTTTGGAAGGGGAACTGGTCATTTTACAATAGCCAAAATTTTAATATACTATCCACATGCCTTGCTTCCGGGTGAAGTATCCAAGAAAAAGAATGTCACTGACTTTAACTCAGCTTCCTCTAGGCGAAAGAGCTACGGCAGCCCCGCTGCAGTATTACTGAATCTCACAAGTAGTTGACAATATCTACCAAATAAGTCGAGGGAACTAAACTTAGTGCAGCTGATCATGGTGTTCTTCAGCACACCCTCGGTATTGCGACGAAATTGTGGTTGCATTATCCTTGCTATAAGCATTTACAATTCGTCACTTGCCATTTGCCTTTCCGACACATTGTTTCGGCGCCGAATATAAAATTAACATTCTCTTTCCAAAAGTACTTCGTGATTTGTAGAAGATAAGCGTTAATGACGACATCATGTTCACGCCAGCTCGTGGCTGACAGCATCGGTAGGATCATTGAGGATAGCTGTTCCACTAACCACACTCAGTGCTTGGCGAGAATTTAACGGGGTCAAACGTACCTTGGTATGAAGGGTGGATCACACATGATGGTGTAACTACACAATGGTGTGGCTACACCTTAATAAAAAGCTACTATGTGGCTGGACGGCCAGTAGTTATGCATTTTAATTAGGTGTTACTTTCTAATTTGGAATCCCTATATATTTAGATATAGGCGGCTTTGTGCAAATAAAACAGAAACATATAGTTTACTATCTACGTGAACAGGCTCGTTCGTCCTTGCGTCCCGTTTATGCCGCCATCCCATGGTTCAGGGCTAAGTGGGAGAGGAATAGCCGAGCGGCAAGCTGATGGCAGCCCTCTCACCGTCCGTAAAGAAGTCGATGACTTCCTGTCTAAATGTCTTACGACACATTCGCGATGCGATAGCTGAGAGCCAAGACATGCAGACGGAAGAAACAAAAGAATCGCTGAAAACTTTGAGGTCGGAGACCTGGTTATACTAAATGCGAAACCCCTACCTACACATTCTGTTCCTGCGTTCTTTAAGACGAAGCTATGTCTACGGTTATCGAACCTCTTAAAGTCGTGGTCACGCTAGGCTTTGCGTATACACTGAACCTTCCGAGTAGGATGCGCACCCACCCGGTGCTTTATGTGGGCATGCTTAAGCCGTACCAATATCCGGCACAAGTGAACGTGAAAGCATTGACCAACGTGAGGCAGTCGGTGCACAAAGTGCTCCAAGCTTCGACGTCTTCAGCACAGCGGCATTCGACCCCAGCATGATGCTCGGCGGATTCCCGATCGCGACGGATCTTGTCCTCAAGTGCTCGATGAGCATCGCGAGTCATCGGACGGCGATCGACGAGGATGGTGGTGTCTACTAAGACGTGGATCGTCTTGTGCGTCGACAAAGTCGAGAGGTTCAAACACAGGAGTCGGGGATACCCAAACTCCGATGACTCGTGAAAATTTGAAGGGTTACTTCAGCAAGACTGCCCAGACGACGTGGACGCTTATGATCAGAGGTTTTATGACTTTCCGCGTCGTCGTACGCCCCGCACTTCTCGGCTGTAGCCAGGGAAGCCGAAGGAACATGAGCTTAGCCCAAGTTATGATCCTGAGCTGCTGTGGTCGTCGGCTCACTCGTGTGAGAGACCACAGAGCTCGCGAAAGCGTGGTGGATTAATCCATACGTCACAGGGCGACAACACGAAGGAAGTCGGCGTTGTGCCTTGAGCTTGGCAATTTCGAGCCAAAACTGTCGTTCCACGTGCGCGACCGTAAGTTGAACAGGAAGGAAAGTTTCCGGTGCCGCTGCACCCACCCCACAAAGAGCAATTCGTCATCAGCAGCAGTTTCGTCAGGAGCGAGCACCACATGAATTGTCCGCATCGCGGGTACAGAAGCGCCTCCTCTTTGAGCGCGAAGTCCAGCGCGGTACCTATCCATTGGGATTTCTTGAGGTGCCAAAAAGCGATATCAAAGAGCTTCTTGTTTTTCAAGCTCAGCTTGGGTAGTGGTCGGTGGCCCGACTATGTAGAGCGATACAGGCGGCTTTCCCACAAATAAACAAAGTAATTTAATTTACATTCTGAACGAAAGGGTTTTCTTTGCCTTGTGTTCAGGTTGCAGTTACTCTTGGAGTAAGCAGATCGCGATCTGCTACAATCGTACTGGTTCTAGTTTAGAACGAAAGATCATCGACTTTAGCGTAGCTTTCTATAAGCGAAAGAGCTAAGGTAGCCCCGCTGCAAGAGATCTTAGCGTTAGGCTGACAGATGATGAATGACGAACCTCGCTCCTCTCCCAGTGCAAAATTTTTATTTCTTCGACTTCACAGTCTTCCAATTTCTTCCACGTATCCCCCGGGGATAATTCATCGATCTTTATTAGCGCTTTACTGGAGGTTGTGAGGGGGACTTACAACCCCAAGGACAACCTGTCACAAATTCATGTGTGAATAATTGTTTTCGCCACTTACCAATCTAGCGCACGGTGGGTCGGTCACACTTGATAAGGATGAAGCATCTTTCTTAGTTCAGGGTCTAATCCTTCTACTCTCGACTACTTTACACCCACAACTCCACCGGCTCTGGTACACCCAGTCACTTTTCCTCCATCAGTGTAGCTGAAAGCTGCCCCTTACCATCTTGTCAGCGACAGACTTTGGGGATACAACATGCAGTTGGCATTTCCCACTTCAACAGGTATACGAGACGGACATCGCATTTATAGTTGCTTGTTTCTTTCCCACCTGAGACCGCAGCTCACTGCAGATTCTGCTTTCCGAGATCTGCTTGAGGCCTTCTAAAAATACCATTGCTATCACTTTCATCAATCTCATGTCCTACCCGAAAGCTATATCAGCTTCATACCCACGAGAAAAGCGCTCTTGCTTTCTTCCGTCTTCATCTGGTATTCTTTTCATATATATCGCGCACAATCGGCGCATGATGCCCAATCATGTCAATATCATCCCCTTTCTAAGCCCGGTTGAAATTAGCAAGTAGGATAATTGTCAATCAATTTCTCAGCAAGGCCTAAGCCACGTCGTGGAGGTGTTAACGGATACTGTGGGCTACCTAAACCATCATAAAAATACGGCAAAGTACATAGGGACGTTGTAACGGGGTTGCACACACATATCATGTACAATAATACACCTCACATATCTGTACGATTTGTGTGACTGTAAATTACTAAAAGCATCGAAGTATCGGAACCTCTAAAACAATGATATCCCGCATCTCGTGGGCTGGTAGTCGAGCATAAAGAACAAAGATAATCTTATTATCGGGAAAAGTAAAACGTTCATAAAAGAATTCGAAATATGTATTACTCTTATAACAGCAAATCAAAAACTAGGGTAAGTAACGTTTGAGTCTCTCAGTTCCGCTCTCTAAAGTAATGCACGAACCTATTCTTTGTGCGTTTGCTCACAGTAGTAATTAATGTCATAACGGGTGAAAATGTGATTTGTTGGACATATTTAAACATCAGTTCTTAGCTGCCTGCCCCAGTGGAGTGATGTAAACTGAGATTCGCTCAGGTCGCGAACTATCAGCTATCTCATGAAATTATCTCACCAACACAAATTTAATATAATCAAGTCCTCTCACATAGAAAATGACATTAATTTGTACTAAATTATCTAATCGTCGAACGACACAGTTGGTTCAAACTCTCTGTGAGCAGTTGTTCAAGGTAGCTACTAATGTCAATCGCTAAACATACAAACCTGACATATTGAATTGAGCCGCATGAGCACATCATGTGTACCCAGCGCCTATGGTGCAGCATGTACCTGTGTGCACGGTTAAGAGTTTATCAAAGGTAGTTTCACTTGAGACAAAGTTACGGTCACTATGTTTTGATAACACATCTACTGCTTGTTCATCTCCGACTTTGAATTTGTCCAGCCCTACCGAAGGTACCAAGACTAGCAGTATGAGTATATATATACTTTGTAAGTAACTCGAATTGTACTCTATCACCTCCGGACAACACCTTCAGCAATTGCGTCCATTGCTGTGGATGCTTTGTTTGAAGTTAACATTTGCCTTCTTTACTTTCTTCGAAGACCCAGACCATTATTAAATAAATGTGCTGTTCGGACCGTGCTAATTGTCAACAGGTATCATCGCTTCAATTGTCATTTGTACATCCTAGGATATTTGACGACATTCAAAGTCTTTCCTGGAACAACTCGAACGTGTCAATACTAATTACATGCTAAATTAAGGCCTTCCACGTTTCAAAAAATGAAAGCCAGCTCTTTTCTCTGACCTTACTCAGAGTCATCTCAATATTAAACCGATGTACAGAGATAGACTTCCAAACAAAGTACAACATTGCACTCTTTTCTAAACGATCAGGTAGGTCGCCTCTTTTGTGGTCATCTGTGACACTGACGTCGAACGACGAAGCAAATCAATCTGGTTTGTCTTCCAGACGGTCTTGGTGCTCGTAAGCACTTACATTACTCCGTAAGCCTCGACCATAAAGCTATAAGTGCTTTATTTGCGTGTATGCCTCCTCCATCTCGATTCCTGCATTTGTTAAGCTTTCAATTGCATTGCGACGCTGTGATTTTTTTTTGTAACTGACGCATAGCGGGTTTTGTTAAAATTAGATCACAACCCTAGAGCCGGATTTTCTAGATGTAATCGAGGTGTAGGTAGAGGAGTCCTGCCGATTGAGCGATCAAGCGTTAGACAGAAGTGGCAGCCCACTTAAGCTTATCTGCCCAGCAGATAATAAGCGGCCTGTGGTCGGCCTGGACACACTTTATACGCAAAAACGGTGCCTCAGACTTATGCAGGAGGCTAGCAAGCAGCAAGAAATTGGTTTAGAAGAGATGCCTTTAAGGTGTCGACTCCAAATCAAAGCTCGAAATATTAGAGCGTTTTATCACTGCTATTGGCAGATCGCCGCATTGCTCATCGTAGTGCTGATAAACGACACTGCCGCGTCATCGGACGCTTCAAACGATTTCATCACGGATGGCACAACCACATACTGCTGGGAAGTAGACACATCTGTATACTCTAACAAAGTTGATGTCTCAACGGTGAATATGGTAAGCGCTCAAGGCGACGAATGCCCACTTAAGCTTTCTATCACTTTCCCCTCAGACAATGTGTATGTTCATACATCGGTGGACATTTCATGGAATGCAACGGCGCGACTAGCTACGAGCGGTTCGATTGATACCAACTCCTTTGGTGTAACTGAATTAGTATCTGGTTTGGACCGCATCTCCCAAAATTACTACCAAATTATGTCTTCGCGTCTGCGAACGTGCACGACGGGGGAAGATTGTAACCCGGTGACAACAAGATCCCAGTTGACAGAGAACACAACCAACATACCGCTTAATTTCACAGATGGGCTAGCTGAATTTTACACTTCAGAATTGTCATTTGACCAACCAGGAGATTACATCCTGGCGGCTCATTTAATCTTGCCAAGCTCCACTCCAACATTAAAGCGCTACGACTACGCCGTGTTTCTTAATGTACAGATCCTCTCGCAAGCAAGTGACTCAACTGACACTACCGCTACGCCATTAGCAGAGGCGAAGGGAGACACGAATAGCACAGGGTTATCAACGGAAGTCATATGCGTATTAATCATTAGTGGAATTGTTGTCGTGGCTTTGGTAGTAATCGGCGTTGCTATGCTACGCTCAAAAACTGATCGAGAACTGGACGTCAATTCTAGCAAACGGAACAACTCTAAGAAAAATCGTGGCATGTTTGGCTTTTCAAGCACTGGAGTAAAATCTGTCAGTGGTGTTGCCGTGGTGAGCGACGAAGAAGCGGAAGAATTTGCCATGCTCAGTATGCACGAAGCTACTATGTGTCAAAAGCGAGGAAGTACTTATTTAAGCGCTTTAAATCGTGGACGCCGTGACTCCACACCTCAAAAAAAAAGTGAAAGTCCTATTCAATTCGCTGGTCCACTGTGTAGTCAAAGCTTGGATCGCAAAGAGGCTATTTCTAGTGCTGACGATTCAAAACCAGGAGATATCACACCACAGAGCGTGAGTATTGAAACACCAGGTAATAATGGCCAGGGAAACTACGTTGGTATAGATAACACACCAAAAGCTCTTGTCCGCAAGCCTTCTCCGTATGACCAAACGAGCGCTCCACCAGGTCAAATTATGTTTAACGACATTACGGAAGACGAAGTGGAAACTTCAGATCAAACATCTGACGGTGTTGTTGGCGTGAAACGACAGCCCAACTTTGAAGACAGCACTATGTCTGACGTGACAGACCTGAACCTTACGGCTGTGTCCGTACGCATTAAACAGCATCGCTACTCCGCGGAGCAGATGGCAGCTGCACATATCAAGCAAGATGTACTGACAGCAGATGATCTGCGCGACTCAGAGACAAAGGGACCCATGGCGTTAAGCGATTTGCTCTCCTCGCAAGTGCGGTAATACTATCAGCGTATGGTAGTAACGAGCGGCTACAAATTGTGGAGACAGATTGGGAAACAGTCTTGTTAAAGTCTCGATTGGACACATCGTCGCTCATTGCTGCAATCTATTTTTAAAGAATCGCAGACGCGTATTAGACACATAAAGGTTAACATATTGAAATGCTATATTTGTAATATTTGATCTTGATGTAGACCACATAGTGAAAAGGAGTGGCTAGCTAAGAAACTCAGTAAACATCAAAAGTCAACAAGCTTATTTGTCAGCATGCGTATTCATACGTGTTATTTTTGCTCCAGTCCCGTATACCCTGGCCACGGCATCACATTTGTGCGTAATGACAGCAAGATCTTTCGCTTCTGTCGCTCTAAATGCCACAAGAATTTCAATCGCAAGCGTAACCCACGCAAGGTGAAATGGACAAAAGCCTTTAGAAAGGCCGCAGGAAAGGAAATGGCTCTGGACACGACATTTGACTTTGACAAGCAGCGTAACCGTGCCGTCAAGTATGATCGCAATCTCGTTAGCGCCACCATTCACGCTATTGAGCGTGTTACGCAGATAAAGGAGATGCGCGAGGCGGCTTTCTACAAAAACCGTATGAAGGATAGTAAGTCCAAAGCAAAGGTGCGCGATCTCCGCGAGCTGGAGCAGAATATCACACTCATTGAGCCGGCTGCGGCAGCGCTCAAGGATCAAGCACAGCTTAATAAGTTGACATCTAACCAGAAAGACGCGGCATACACAGAGAAGCCATCTTCCATGGTTTTAGATCAGTAGAGATAATGCTGCACAAATTGCTATTTCCTCATGCATCCAACTTATTCTACCGAGAACTTATCATGGTTCGACTCTGGATATGTAAGGCCCTTGAAGGAGTACATTTTAGAAGTCCCCGTAGACTACTGTGTCGAAGACGTTTGAAGCCGATAGGTAATCGAAATCCTACCAAGTTTGTTATATTTTTCGATTCCACATGGGGCCTTTTTAAATACCTACTTGTTCCCTCATGTCACACTCGCACATCACACCTCAGATTAAAATTTATAAAAACGACGACGTCTTTCGCTGCCATGCCTTGGTGTTAAGTTGGTGATTTGTCCAACTGTCGGTGACACTTCTTTAAATTAACGTATCTGCATTGCAGTGCCCAAATGTCCTCAGCCGTTTTTCTGCGTGAGCTCAATTTAAGCGTTAACCAGTCGAAAGCTCATCGCATGCAAATTCGTTGTTGAGCCTTCGACAGCACTAAGAAGCAAAGCTTTGCTTTAAGTCTTTCCCCGTGGATTTTGAACGGCTTCACTGTTACTGGAATTGAGATTCTGCACTCAAAAAGTATCTCAATTTCTATAGAATCTGGATTCGCGCAATCGCCTTGTTTATCTAAATTGTCAGGTTTCAGCTCCAGTCTGTTGTGACTGGAAGGCAAACGTATCTGTTTGCATTAACTCGCTATCATTTACATCTCCCTACCTAGAGTATGCGTTGGGCGCCTTCAATTACATTAGCTGTGCCAAGGTTTGCCGGTCGTTGCTCTTGATTGTTGTTCATAGAATTAGTATGTATGGTAGCGTTGAGCATAAGACGCCACCTTTCAGTTCGTCACGCAGTAAGGAACTTCAAATATTGCATGACCCTTCTGCGCTATCAAGAATGGAGCGGTTTAAGCGCTGCATTTGGGCTAAATAAGGTTCTCGTTGGCTTTTGCTAGCAATTGATTTATCAAGTTGATGTCAAAATATACGTGCAGTGAATAAGGTGCACTGCTGTCCTGACTTATTCAGCCCTTCATCTTTATGACATAAGATAGCATACAACGTAACTTCTCGATGACAGTGTGGTCCATCAAGTTTTGCCATTGACATGAAGTGTCGATGCATGACGCTATTTTTTTCATCTTGTTCCGTTATCCGATCTTAGCGTCTTTCGCAATGGCAATCCCGAACTTTTTAGTTTGGCGCTTTGGAAGTTATTAACCTGCTTTACCTTTGTGCGCTACGCTTTGAATTCAATTTTACCGCAACGCGTACAAGCTTAAATACATGCGAAGACATCAGAAAAATAAATAAGTGTGCGCGGTCGATATATTTGAAATCACCATATAGTATCTGAACATCCTACTTCATCACCCGCACGTCAACCATGATTAAGCTCTTCGACAGGCTGTACTTACCTGGGCAATCCGAGCAAGCATTTGATAGCTCCATACAATTCCGAGAAACTTTTGTCCAACGGCTTCCCAAATCTGTGACCAACATGATGCTGAAACACAGCTGTAGATTGGCGACATGTTTGATTGCCATGCAGTCATAACACAGCGAGTCACTGGAAACTAGGTGCCCCTGTGTGGGCTATCAACGTTATAGTTCATATGAACAGAGAAGCGCAGCATCGCTTTCGGATCAGGAGAGAATGGGGAAATAAAGGCCCCACGTTTGATTTGCATCAGTGTCAGATTTGAGCTTCAAAAGCTTGCAATATGCATTTAATGTTTTAAAGTCTACTGATGATTACACTTGAAAGTGCTCGATAATCACAAATCGCGCGGTATTCCAACTTCTTAATTGACACAAACGATCACTACCCGTAGTAAATCGTAAGAGCAAGAGCCACCCTTTGACATGCATAACTTTGCCGCACAAACAAATGATAACTGGCCAGCGTCTGCACCCACTTTGCGCTTTACGTAACAGAAGCCCGGTGGAACAAAGATACGGTTTAAACTAAACGGCTTGATGGGAAATACTATCTATATCGTCGGAAAAAAGGTTTCTCTCGTAATGCTTCAAGCTCTTTACGACGTCTTTCTGATAGTCTGAATCTCCCTGAGAGTAAATTTATGCGTAGCAGCCCAATGGATACCTCTCAGCTTTTCATCTAGTTCATGTGTAGTGTAATTCCTGCATTCACTGCTTGATCTTTCGGGTTTACATTTCCAAGACACGTCGCAATTTTATATTGTGCAGGATACCAAGCAGAAATTCGAGTACTCACGGCCTTTCCTCGAAACAAAGACAAGAACACCAGGAACAGGAACAGAAACCGGAACAGAAACCGCAACAGGAACAGAAACCGGAACAGGAACAATACCTTCGGGGTCGAAAAGAGTCAGGAACATTTTTGAGATTATGTACAGTGGAGTGACCATAGCTCTACAGCTGGCTGCAGGGTCTTAAGCGTCTATCCAACTACGCTTGATCTCGTTAGCAAGCCCGAACTTCTTAATGGTCATGAGTAGCTTTCTTGACTATGCGTTGCGAGTTGAACAAGCAAGACGCAATTTGGCTATGTTGTCTGATGACTCTGCTTACTTTAGGCTCATACGAATATGGTTGGCAGCACTCCTTGCATGCGCAAAACTGTGATAGTCAAGCCAGAAATGAGCCAATGCTATGTAAGCAAATTATTCAGAAAATCACCTTCAAATGATTACAATGTGATCTTTTGGCTTCTTTTTTAAGCTATACAATAAGGACATTATTTTCTACTTAATTTGATAGATTTATTTCAGCGAAACTCAGAATTTCAATACATGACTTAAAAAAACTGATACAGCACTTCTGCTATTAATTAAACATTTTTTACTATCCGCTCTACGTACATCATGCCTTATGCCACCGACGCCATCATATTGCTTTCATCGAAACAGCTAAGACTATTTTGGAATTTGAACCTTGTATAACTGACCAAAGTTATCTCGAACGTATATTTCGCAAGCATACTGAGCTCATGTACAAGTTGGATAAGCTCTTGTCAAAGGATGTAGAAATTTGGTGTTGGATATAGTATTTGGAGGTGGGTTCTAAACTTGGGAATCATCCGCAAATTTTGCCAAGTGGGAAATTGCAAGTGAGAAGCAGCGCTAGCGAATGGGGCTAGATATGAGAACCACTGACCAGGCAACAGGCTGATGTACTCTGACAGTTGCGCTGAAAATTACATCCTATCAGAGCAGCATAAATGAATAAGTAGCGCATAATACTTTTCATTATCACCGCGCAGTACGTAGTTATCACATTCATTCCCACAAATTATGAGACCACGGTTCCTACTGTTACTGGAGGATAAATTCCAAGACATGCGAATCTGAAGGATCAAGGATGAGGCGAAGCCAAACGCACAAGAAAAGTATCGCAGGTTTTAGTTGTTCTTATGGAGGTGTCACGAGGCCGACCGGAGGGCTCAGGTCCGAGCGTTTGACTCGGTGTTGGGAACGGAAGGTCGTTGTAGATGCAATTGTCGGAGGAAACGTCACTTACGAGGGACGTCCCATGAATATCATCAGCGATGTATTGTGGGATGAAAAACAGCCGGATTCTGGCTCAAATTCGCACCAGGATCGCCGCAGCATTGTGTGCAACCACCAGTGTACGCGAAAAAAGTTCATGCGATGCTTGCAGGAGGCGCGATGGCAGCGGTCACGCGGCAGATGAAGCAATAAATAGAGCCAATGCCTTAAACAAGCTATTTTCTGACGTGAAGCGGGTTTCTGTCATAGGAAATCGATGTGTAGAGAAATGACAATTTCAAGAGCGTGCTTGTAGGTTCCAGTGCTAAAAGGATGTTGAGGTCGACAAAATAGGAATCATCTCGTCGGGATGGCTGGAAGTAGCGAAAATGAAAAGTCGATACATGCAGGAAGGACAGCAAACGCTGCAGCACGCAATACAGAGATTACCGCACCAATTAACGCCGAAAGAAGGTATGAAAATTTTCATAACGGTGAATAGCGCACGAGAAGCTAGGTAAAACGCTGCAACTATCTTATGGCAGTGGTCAAAGCACGAGGACGAGTGGATTGCTATGTGATAGATAATACAGCTCACTATACCGCTCCTGCAATGGGAGTACAATATTGTTGAAGCTATTCCTGGCGGCGACGGACTTCTGCGGTGTAGTCTCTTGTGCTGTTCAATGCAAAC